GTAGGGATGGCTATATCTCTATTCTGTTTTTTTTCTACAATTGTGTTATGGCCCGCCAGCGGCCAGCAGAGCTGGCAGCAGATTCGGACAGTGGGAAGGTTGGGGAGGAACATGGGCCAGTCCTGAAGTCTGGAGAAGGCTCTGACAAGCCTTTGCGTCGGAGGCAGAGATGGGGCCAGAGCTGTTTGACAGTTATCAGCTGCCTTCGGAGTCAGAGATCAGTGGGGCAGAAGAACAGCTGGAGCCTGTTCCTAGTGTGCACATGCACAGAGCTGTCAGGAGAAGGGAACAGTTAAGAAACAAGGGTCAACTCGGGAATAAAGGCTCAGGTAGATGGTGAATGGCCCCTCCCATAGGGAATAAAGATGAGTGAAAGGGGAGTGGTGTTTGCAGGAGACCATTAGTTCAATTTGTTTAGGGTGAAGATCTGTTCCTGACTTCTTGCCAAGTAATTGCTGCTACAGCATGGTGTTTGGAAGATATCAGCCTGGCAACTCTCCAAGCCTGATAAAGGTCTGTAGTTGTGAAATCTCGTGAAAGACTGTTTGCCAGCACTTTGCTGGAGAGGAATTCACTTTAACCTAAATAAAAGGGGTTTTATCGGGACGAGGAGTCTGCTTCATGATCTTGGGAAGCCTAGGTCAGAACAAATTGGATGGTTTAGAACCTAAAGTCTTGCCCTCTCACATTTAATAAATTTGCAAATTTTTATCAGTTCCTATAAAAATGAATCCAATAAAAATGTCACTTATTTCAACTTTCTTCAAGGAAGCCTCTATAGGACTGACGAAATGATTGTTTTAAAGAGCTAAACTGCCATATTTTGAATCAGAATCACACAGGAGGAGAAACTAGTCCAGGCTCTGGAAAGAGTCTTCATCTCGATGATGGCTACTAGGTGGCTCTGCATTATAGAAGGAAGAGGGCACAATTCTGAAGGGAAGCTGTCAGTACTGTACAGGTAGTCCTTGACTTACAACCACAATTGAGCCCAACATTTCTGTTATTAAGTGAGACGTTTGTTAAGTGAGTGTTTGCCCCATTTTTGACCTTTCTAGTTATCATTGTTAAGTGAATCACTGCAGTTGATAAGTTAGTAACTTGGTTGTTAAGCGAATCTGGCTTCCCCGTTGACTTTGCTTGCCAGAAGGCCACAAAAGATTAATTTTTGTAGGCCAGCCACCAATGGACAAGATTAATTTTTGTTAAGGTTTCTAGAAAATGAATTAAACAGCATTTCAATAATAACAAAGGACATGTGGGAGCTTGTTGCAAGAGCAATAGGTAAAACGATCCAGATTTTATAGGCATGACCTAGGAACACAGCAACAGTCATAAATATGCACCACCTGACAAGCATCTGAATTTTGAACCCATGATCCTAGGGATGCTGCAAAGGTCATAAGTCACTTTTTTCAATGCGTTGTAACTTTGAACAGTCAGTAAGCAAGCTGTTATATGTTGAGGACTACCTGTAGCTACTTATTGTAGCTGTCATTTGGAATGTTGTGGTCTTACATGGAAGAGTTATTATATACTTGAAAAGAATTACAAATCTGTATCATATTTAACAAAAGGAAGCATGCTATCAGCCATCAAGTAATTCTTCAAATATTAATTAATGGAAGACAAGAGGGATTCTTGCATTATCAATTACATTTTTGAGATACAATGTTTAAAATATGGTACATTGTAAAGGATGCATTTATTTGTACAATGAGGATGATCATTTTGCATTGCTGGATGAAACAAATCATCTGCCTTATAAGGAATACTAATATTCATGGCACCCACAAGGTGACAAATTTGGGAGAGGGGAGGGCAATAGACATTGTATGAGTCATGATGTCACTGCACAAATAACACACATGAGGTTTTGCGGCAAATCGCATCATTTGTGTGATTATGTCATATATGTGGCATAACTGGCTTTTACCTGATATCTATGTCAGTATTTTAGTCTGTTGTACTTTTTTTTTTTATAAAGAGAACAGAAAGTGCTTTTTGGGCTTCCTATGAATTGTTTTTCTCAGCTTTTTCGTTCTATTGCCGAGGAAAGCAAAACATGTAACGCAGTTATTTCTATTTCTATTGCTTAGAAACAAGTCCCACCAATTTGAATGACATTTATTCTTTAGTACGTGTGTAGGATACATATATAAACTGAAGTTACTCGACCAATTTATTATAAATACAGAACAATATTCGTGCTTGTGGTATCTCCCCTTACCTTCCAAGTTAGTATTCAAATATTTCTCTGCTTGTTCTAGAATGCAGCCACCAGCCAACTCTTAAAAATCAAAATCAACATTACAAGAAGTTGTGTGCATGACTAAAGAACAGACAAGATGGTCATCCATTATTTCCATTTGCCATTTCGGTGTAATTGCATTTCATCTAGAGCTCTAATGACCAAGGAGATGCAGGCAAAGAAAATCTTAAGATTGTTGTAGCTCTTCTTGCACCCATTAGGGAAAAAAATCAACATAAATACAGGTGAAACTCAAAAAATTAGAATATCATGCAAAAGTTCATTTATTTCAGTAATGCAACTTAAAAGGTGAACCTAATATATGAGATAGACTCATTACATGCAAAGCAAGATAGTTGAAACCATTATTTGTCATAACTGAGATGATTATGGCTTACAGCTCATGAAAACCCCAAATCCACAATCTCAGAAAATTAGAATATTGTGAAAAGGTTCAATATTCTAGGTTCAAAGGGTTCCACTCAAATCAGCTAATTAAGCCATAACACCTGCAAAGGGTTCCTGAGCCTTTAAATGGTCTCTCAGTCTGGTTCAGTAGGAATCACAATCATGGGAAAGACTGCTGACCTGACAGTTGTGCAGAAAACCATCCTTGACACCCTCCCTAAGGAGGGAAAGCCTCAAAAGGTAATTGCAAAAGAAGTTAGATGTTCCAAAGTGCTGTATCAAAGCACATTAATAGAAAGTTATGTGGAAGGGAAAAGTGTGGAAGAAAAAGGTGCACAAGCAGCAGGGATGACCGCAGCCTGGAGAGGATTGTCAGGAAAAGGCCATTCAAAAGTGTTGGGGTCTTTCACAAGGAGTGGACTGAGGCTGGAGTCAGTGCATCAAAAGCCACCACACACAGACGGATCCTGGACATGGGCTTCAAATGTCGTATTCCTCTTGTCAAGCCTCTCCTGAACAAACAATGTCAGAAGCATCTTACCTGGGCTAAAGAAAAACAGAACTGGTCTGTTGCTCAGTGGTCCAAAGCCCTCTTTTCTGATGAGAGCAACTTTTGCATCTCATTTGGAAACCAAGGACCCAGAGTCTGGAGGAAGAATGGAGAGGCACACACTGCAAGATGCTTGAAGTCCAGTGTGAAGTTTCCACAGTCTGTGTTGATTTGGGGAGCCATGTCACCTGCTGGTGTTGGTCCACTGTGCTTTATTAAGTCCAGGTTCAACGCAGCCGTCTACCAGGAGATTTTGGAGCATTTCATGCTTCCTTCCACAGACGAGCTTTAAGGGGTGGTGACTTTATTTTCCAGCAGGACTTGGCACCTGCCCACACTGCCAAAAGCACCAAAACCTGGTTCAATAACTGTGGGATTACTGTGCTTGATTGGCCAGCAAACTCACCTGACCTGAATCCCATAGAGAATCTATGGGGCATTGCCAAGAGAAAGATGAGAGACATGAGACAGAAGAATGCAGAAGAGCTGAAGGCCGCTATTGAAGCATCCTGGTCTTCCATAACACCTCAGCAGTGCCACAGGCTGGTAGCTTCCATGCCAGGCCGCATTGAGGCAGTAATTGTTGCAAAAGGGGCCCAAACCAAGTACTGAGTATATCTGCATGCTTATACTTTTTAGAGGTCCGATATTGTTCTATGTACAATCCTTGTTTTATTGATTGCATGTAATATTCTAATTTTTTGAGAGTGTGGATTTCGGGTTTTCATGAGCTGTAAGCCATAATCATCACAATTATGACAAATCACGGCTTGAACTATCTGGCTTTGCATGTAATGAGTCTATCTCATATATTAGTTTCACCTTTTAAGTTGCATTACTGAAATAAATGAACTCTTGCACAATATTCTAATTTTTCGTGTTTCACCTGTAGCACATAGGAGCTTCCTCCATCCACACCAGCCATTTTGCCCTGACTGTCTCTTTCTCTGCTATATCCCCCCATAATGCTGCCTTCATCTCTTCTGCAATCCAGCAGGAGGATAGGTTTGAGCTGCCCTTGGCTACAGCAAAATTAAATGTGCATTTGTCACCTTAATCTGGTGCCATCTAAGGGAGGCCTCATGGAGTGTAAATCTGTCTCTGATACCCAGGGAGGGAAGTCAGGTGATTGTTGTGTCTGACGGTGGCTGGGAATGGAGATAACAGAGGGTAGGATAGAGATGAGCCATGGGGACAGCAAATGTCATGGTGCTATTGCTTCCTGCTAGCTCTAGGGTGGATGGAGATCTCTGTAAAGAAGAAACAGCCATAACCATCCCTGCCAGCCTTCTACCTCTTCACACATAGAAGTTACTGTACTGCATTATGTCCATAAACTAGAACAGTATTTCTCAACTTTAACAACTTTAAGTGCCTGGACTTTAACTCCCAGAATACCCCAGCCAGTATGGGGAAATTTGGGAGCTGAGATACAGACATCTTAAAATTGCAAGATTGAGAAACACTAGAATAGAGCTTCCTGGACCACTGATATATCCACTTTGATTTGTGATGGTCAAAAGAACAAACAACCTGAACTATCTGTCCCAGACATTCCTTGGGGAATTTTAACAAACCATGCTAAAGCATATATATATTTCCATTCTTGGCTATCTGATATTTTGAAATAAAAGTTGCCCTTTAAAATATCATGGCCATACAGGCAAAAGTTGGGTGAAGTTGATCTTTCAGGAAAGTGAGATCCCTGACATTAACAGAGCTACTGACTTGATGAGGATCCTTATTTATCCACAAACATGTTTATCGCATCTGTTTTCTTTTACCTTAGGAGTGTGAGACTTTTGAGAAATGTTGCCCTAACGTTTGTGGAACACGAAGTTGTGTTGCAGCCCGGTACATGGATGTGAGAGGGAAGAAAGGACCTGTCGGGATGCCCAAAGAAGCCACCTGTGACCGATTCATGTGCATCCAGCAAGGTTCAGAGTGTGATATCTGGGATGGGCAGCCTGTCTGCAAATGCAAAGACAGGTGTGAAAAGGAGCCAAGTTTCACCTGCGCGTCTGACGGGCTCACCTATTACAACAAGTGTTACATGGACGCAGAAGCATGTACCAAAGGCATCGCCCTCAATGTGGTGACTTGTCGTTATCACCTCACTTGGCCAAACACCAGCCCTGTCCCAGCAGAGACTACAGCTCCACCCACCACTGCTTACTTGGAGACGACCATCACAGACATCCTCGCCCCTGGTTTAGTCAACAACCCAACCCATCAGGTGGTCTACGTGGGAGAGACGGTAAGCTTCCTTTGCGATGTTACCGGTCGGCCTAAACCGGAAATCACTTGGGAGAAGGAGACTGAGAACAAAGAGAAAGTAATTATGAGGCCTAACCACGTCCAAGGAAATATTGTTGTCACCAATATTGCCCAGCTGGTGATCTATAACACGCAACTACAAGATGCAGGGATTTACACCTGCACAGCCCAAAACCTTGGTGGTGCTTTAAGGGTTGATTTCCCGTTGTCAGTCCTCCAAGGAGAAGCTACTTCTCCAGAATCAGTGCAGAATAAAACTCACTTTCCAACCAACGAGTGCCTGAAGCAACCTGACAGTGAAGACTGTGGAGAAGAGCAAGCCAGATGGTATTATGACGCAAAGAAAAACAACTGCTTTGCTTTCATTTATGGGAACTGTAATAGCAATCTCAATCATTTTGAGACCTACGAGAGCTGTATGCTGACATGCATGAATGGCCCCATCAACATCTGCAATATGCCAGCCCTGCAAGGTCATTGCAAAGCCTACGAGCCCCGGTGGGCATACAACAGCTTGACGAAACAATGTCAGTCTTTCATTTACGGAGGTTGTGGAGGCAATGAGAATAATTTTGAAAGCCGAGAGGCCTGCGAAGAATTGTGCCCTTTCCCTCTGGATAGGCTCTGTAAAGTTGGCAAGGCTTGCAAACCCCGGCAAAAGCTGGTGACCAGCTTCTGCAAAAGCGATTTTGTGATTCTTGGCCGTGTCATGGAGCTGACAGAGGACCAAGATTCCGGCCATGCCCTGGTGACGGTAGAGGAGATTCTGAAGGATGAGAAAATGGGGCTCCAATTCTTGGGAAGGGAGCCTTTAGAAATCACCTTGTTGAACATGAACTGGAGCTGCCCGTGCCCCAACATTACGGCAACGGAAGGCCTGCTCATCATCATGGGGGATGTCTACAATGGAATGGCTGTGTTACAGCCGGATAGTTTTGTTGGGGCCTCAAGTGTCCGACGCGTTCGAAAACTGCGTGAAGTCATCCACAAGAAAACCTGTGAGCTATTAAAAGAGTTCTTAGGACTGTACTAATGCCCTGAGAGTAGCTCACTGGCTTTCCAGATTTGTGCATTATATAGTGCTAACAAACAATAGGTTTGCCCCTTGTGTAACTCTTGTTTGCTGATATATGTTATGTATTACATATGAAGGAATGAATGGCATGTAGCAGAGAGACAGTTGTCTTTTTGACAAATATTTTAAAATAGCTGTAAACAGCCATTAATCTTTAGATTTCTATCTATCTATCACTCTAGAAATGCCATCTGGTGTTTATCGCTTGCTAAGAATGCGATTTTCATCATATTAAAAAAAAAACACCCCATTTTGTAGTATTTGTCCAGAGCTGAAACATGCAAAAACTCTTAGCCTAATAGCTCTTGTTTGGAATACAGAGATGTTTGTGAAAAGCATCTGAAATGCATCCCATTCTTCAGGATATTGCAAAAGAATCTGTAAATTATTCCCTATAATCACAATAATTATAGCCATTAAACCAATCCATTATGGCATCTGTTCTGACTGGAAATGATTTCGAGGCAGGGACTTCATCTTCAGTAGACATTTTTGTAGTAGATTTTTAAACAGTGTGCCCATCTAGTCACATTCCAAATGATCTGTTCTATCAGACGATGAATTTGGAAGCAAAACCACACATTATGATCTCACTGCACTTTCCTACCCAAATAAAATATTGTGCACCACATTAAGTATTAAACATTTTGCACTGCACTGAGGAGCAGCATTAATTTCTCAGCTCCCCACTTTTTTGCTACTTTTAGCTGGGAATTAAGGAAAACTATGGTGTAAGCTTCAAGTAGTAACACGGTTCAAACAATGCTTTCCCTACAAAAATCCAGAATAAAATAGAAAATAACATTTTGCATTCTCACCCTTCTCATTGAACTTCTCCAGTTCTTTCCTTTCTATTCTGCTGTCTCCAGGTATGCAATGCCCACTAGCCAGGGTGGGATTCTACCAGTTCGCACCTATTCGGCTAGAACCGGTTGTTAACATTCTAAGCAATTCAGAGAACTGGTTGTTAGAAGAAATTACTGGCCTAATCCTGTAAGGAAGGCAGGAAGGAAACATTCTGGTGTTGCTTACGGAAACTGCCTCTCCATTAACCCTTATTACATTCTTGGCAGGACTAGTCTTCCTGACTCAGGAACTTCTCTGGAGTATTTCCCCCCTCCTTTGCTGGTACTTTGCTTGTGTGGAATGACCATTCAAAGTTACAATGGCACTGAAAAAAGTGACTTATGACCATTTTTCACACTTACAACTATTGCAGCATCCCCACAATCATGAGAGGCCGGGGAGGAGATGTGAGTGATATTGAGTTGGCCACGCCCAACCAATAACATGACCACTAAGCCACGTCCACCAATTAAGCCACGCCCACAGAACCAGTTGTTAAAAAAATTGAATCCCACCCCTGCCACTAGCCAATTTTGTTTGTCTTTCTTATTGACAATTGTTAAGTCTTGGGTATTACGTGGCAGGCCTGTTCAAATACTAAAATCCCAGAGCACTTTAGTTTCTTCATTTTCTATTATTTTGTCTATTTTGTGGTCCCATCATTTCATGCTTGAGAACAAATGGTTGTTTCTTGCAGATATTCCAATGCAGCATTGTTGCTACTTTGTCATGCCGCTGTTTGTAGTCAGTCTGGGTGATCTTGCAGCAGCTGAATAGTGATCCACTGTTTCTTCAGCTTCTTTGCAGAGGTGGTGTTTGCTTTCTGTTGTTGTCTTCTCAATTCTGGCTTCTGATGCATTTGTTCTTAAGGCTTGGTCTTGTGCAGCCAGAATTGGCTCTTCTGGCTCTTGTATATCTTGTTATCTGCTTTGCCTGTTAAGTTTATTTTGGTATATTGCTCATGTAATACGTTGCCTTGCCATGTCTCTTTTCTCTTCTTCATTTGGTCTTTATTGTAAATCAGTTTGGCCTCTTCAGTATTCAGTAAATCTTTATGGAGTACCAGCTTCAGTGCATCTACCTCACTGTCCTTCAGATATTCTTCCAATGATCTTTTTTTCTTTTTCAACTGTCTGGTATAGTTGCTACATTCCATCCCACTTATACTCCTTGGTTAAAAAAAAAAAAAAAAGAGTCTGTCAGTGTTGCTGTGTCAATGAAGGACAAAATTTGTTAACATTATTTTTCTAGTCTTCCTATCCAGGGCTTCTAATTCCGCCTGAGCCCATTTCATTATTCCACCTATATTTCTAATGACTGAAATTGCCCAAGTGTTAATTGCCTTGATGATATTTCCTCCACTGAGTTTGGACTTTATGATCTTCCTCAGTCTCGTAATATATTCACTTCTAACCTTCTTCTTAACTTCAGTGTGCTTGATGTTGTCAGCTTGAAGGATGCTCAAGTATTTGTAGCAATGGTGGGATTCAATTTTTTTTACTACCGGTTCTGTGGGCATGGCTTGGTGGACATGCAGGGGAAGGATACTGTAAATTTCCAGTCAGAGGTGGTATTTGCTGGTTCTCCTAACTACTCAAAATTTCCGCTACCGGTTCTCCAGAACTGGTCAGAACCTGCTGGATACCACCTCTGATTTGTAGTGATTTTCTTCATCCAGACTCTTGATGTTATTTCCATAGGGCATCTTGATTCTTTCAGTTTTCATTATTTTTTCCTTTCCATTGTTAGGTAGGTTTTGCCAAATGTTAATTAATCTTCAGTTTCACTTCTTTGCAGTATGTTGTTAAATGCTTGACAATGAATAGGTGTAGACCAGTCAGATATTTCAACCAAAAACTATGCAGTTCAACTTCATCTGATGCTGACCAATTCTTGATCTTCCTTGCCCTTTTCTCCACAATTTCTGCTGTTATAACAAGTTCTTTCATTTCAGCTTCTTCTTCTTTTATTCTTATCCACCTTCTTTAGCTAAGCTATGTTCTTGTGGCATTTCTTTGGGTTGTCCTTAGCTGTGTCTAAAGTGCCCTTTTTTTTTGTTTGTCAGCTGTTGGTTGATTCATTGTACTGTCTCCAGAGATGGATTGGTAACAACATTTCTGATTCAACAGCAATTGAAGGTAATGTGCAGTTGAACTTCATATCTACTTATCTTCTTAGCTATAACTGTTATTTGTTGCGTTATTATTTCCATTGCTTCTTTAATTTTTCTTGTTTCTAGGTGATATTTCTTGGTCATTTTTTTTGCTCTTCTTATTCTTCAGCCTCTTTTCTTTTATCTTTTCTAGCTTGCTTGTTTCTAACCTTAGCATGCTGATCTTATTTTCCAGCCTGATTTCCCATGTTAGTGGTCCACCCTTTGACATTTTTTCTTCTTTGTTGATTTTGCATCCAAAGTATTCCGTTATAACTGCAGCCATGCTGTACATTGATTGGTTTGTTTCTTGCAGTGAGCTGGTGTTTGCATTTGATATTATGGAATTGGCATCTTTTAATACTTGTGCTTGCTGTTTCTTTGGAACAAGTTTCAATGCAAGCAACCTTATTTGGTTGCTTTTGTACTGCTTCAGATGCTCAGTGGTTCTTTATTTTGCTTCACCTTTTTAAATTATAGTGTTTTGTTATTTCTGAGGACAAGGCAGAGGAGAAGATATCTGATTTGGGAATGAAAACAATACAATAGCTATGCTGGCTTCCTCTACTGCTGAATGTCATTGTTTGATGAGTATCACTAGAGGATGTAAGCTGTTCCAAATAAAGCTGTCTCTTGCAATTCACCAATGGTGATTCCCCCCACCCCCATACCAATGGTATTCAAGTGGTTCTCCAGAAGTTTTTGGATTGTACCCAAGATACCTATTATTATTGGTACAATCTTTGTTTTCTTTTGCCACAGTCATTCAACTTATATTTGCAGGTCTTTGCATGTTGTGGTTTTCTCCAGTTCTTTCTCTTCTATGCTGCTGTTTCCAGGTATTGCAACATCCACTATTCAAACTTGTTGGTTTTTCTTATCAACAATTGTTAGGTCTGGGATGTTGTTATTTATTCACTGAAGAGCACTTGAGTGTTGAGTTTGGAAAACAATGATTAATCTCATTGCCGGACACAGCGTGTTTATAGGCTTTTACATTTTCCAAATAAACTCACTACTGAGACCAAGACACAGTAGGGTGGACACAGTGCAGGGAGAGTAGAAAAGCAGTTGCCGCTGTTCTTCTCGCTGAAGACCAGTCAGGGGGACCTTTTCTTCATTAGTTGTTTTCAGCATCACTGGAATGACTTGGCAACTCGGATTTTAGTCCCATTCCCAGCACGTTTCTTTTTCTTGTCTTCATGCCACAATTTTGGCAGCCTCACCCTGCTCTTCTGCAATTCCAGAAACACCATCTGGATGCCCAATGCAGAAGATAGTGAAGCGAGGCACCCTTATTGCAGCTGGATTTTCCATACTCAGACCTAAGACTGGTGGCTGCTGTGAAGCTACCAGACCAAGGTTCCAGGTTGCATTAGGATGATCCTTGCGACTGGCAATAGCCCTTGTCTCTTCTTATCTTTATTTGAGGGACACAGGTTCATTTCTGGAAGCCGAATTTTACCAGGATAGCACATTTTGGGGTGATTGACAGGATCTTTTTCCAACCAGCGATCTTTAGATTGGAATTACAATCATGATTGCATGATTGGGATTGCATGATGAAGCAGAAGCCCAGCCCTAAGCAATTACTCTGATATCTCTTCCCAACTGTGTGATCTCTACCTCAGTTTTGATGGTCTCTTTTAATTATTAGAAAGCTTTGCTTTTAGGCTAACAAGCCAGTAGAGTCGACCTATCAGCACTGTATGATTGATGAGGGTCAGGCTTTTAGCATGAGCACATGGCTAAGCGCCTTTTCCCCTTTGCAAATTGCCACAGCACAGACATGCCTTGATGTTGTTTTGCTTTTTTTTTTCCTGATAGATCCCTGTGACATTGCCTTGATCTTGTCCTCATCTTTTGAGCAGGGCAACCTTAAGTCACCCTGGGCCTTTAGCTGTGATGCTGTTAAAAGGCTGTTTTCTCTGAAGCCAAGAGCACCCAGAGACAGTTGCAAAGAGTGAATACGCATTTTGCCACCAATTCTATCAGAGGAGAAGTCAGACAATATCAACTGGGTACTACTTGATCATTTCTGGCCAGAGCAGGTGGTTTCTTTTCCTCTTGATTCCTGGATGGTCTCTTCTGCCATTCAGCTCTTCATCTCCCCCACCCCTTCACTTCCAGCAGTCCCAGCCTCCTCTTCCAGCACCTCAGCCCTGAAGCCACAGTGAGGTGCCCTCCTGGCTCAATCAGTTGTGCTCGGGAGAAAGACCAAGCAGTGGGTGAGCTCCATGCAGAGGGAACTAGGCTTGGCTAGGTTTTTTTTTTTTTTTTTTAGTGTAGCTACTAACAGCAGTGGTGTTGCTGGAGAAGAAGAGGAAAAGGGATAGGATAAGCATGAAAGAGTTGAGAAGGAAGGAAGGAAGGAAGCTACCCAACAGTGTCAAGCAAGCAGGAAGGGTGTGGCTTCCAAACAGAAGGTTTGCTACCTTCCCCCTGCCCCTTAAATGAAACTAAGCGAAGTTGAGTGAGCTTTCCTCATCTTAGCCATGAGTGAGTAAGTCAGTGAGACCAAGCTCCTTGAATGAGGAGGGAATAGAGACTTTACGCAAAGATGAAATTGTGCAACCGTGACATAATGCTCAAATGGGGCCCTTTCCTCACTTTTCTGGAGAATATTTTAATGCTTTGCATGTTAATGGTTACTCTGTGT